ATCGGCCGGGTTTTCCCCGTTTTTCTCCTTACTTTCTTCCTGTTGTTTTTGTGTGCCCGGAATTTGTAGTTTCTCCATTTTCGAGTCCTAAACATTGTATTGGAAAATATTCTTCTAGATTCACAAAGGCATGTGTCTGAACATTTTTTCCAATTAACATATTTGAATTGGGGAAATACATATAGGCAGATTTAGAAAAACCACTAACAACGAGTTAACAGATCGATGAGAAGCTACACAATTCCTCATAAGCAAAGAATTAGTATGTGGAAGACGATTCAGTTGGAAAGTGAAGGAGAGATGAAATTGCCAATGGCTAGAAAAAATGCGATAATGAAGGACCAAAAAATTGAAGTGTCAAAATATCATGCAAGCAAAGTCTTTCCCTCTGGGTGGTAAACAACTCCTCAGTACGGTCTAGAAAAGGTGCGTACAGGATGAAGTGGCGATCCACAACCAAAAAACAGTGATAATCTGCTAAAACCTTGCCAGATGCTCCAGTCTGAGAAATCGCGAAGCTAAAAATTCCAGCATGAAAAGAAACAAACGCCAAGATCATCAGCAGACTTACAGCCGGACATAGCAGCATTAATTAATGCAGCTGGACAGCTCGCAAAGACGGAGAATCAAATTATAATTAACAGCTGCTTCGCACATTCCCTTGCGTTTTCGCGAATTTTACGATAAGCAGCACTAAGATCATATTAAGCCATAATACAATGAGGATACCAGAAAACTGGATCATACTTTTTGCTGCAAATCGGTAGTGCCCATCGGTTTATCGTCAATAAGACACTGCTGTATCACCTTGTCTTTTAGCAATGTTTGTACGACGTCCGAATGTCGCGACTCAATAAAATAACGATTGTATTTTAACACAAGTTTCACTTTGCCGTAGCTCAGAGTACACATCTGAAAACAAAAATGAGAAAACAGTTAAAGAACCAACACGGTAACAAGTCAGACCATCACTGGGAAAGGGGTGAGGCAGAAGCGGGGAGGAGATATGTGAAGAAAAACACGGTAGAGCGGTATAAATGTTAAAGACGCCACTGCGATGATCGTATGTGCCCGGTGCAGATGTGCTAAGTTCTCCAATTAAAAATCCAAGAAAAAAACGCAAATTCTCTAACCTTGATGAACTCAACAATGCCTTTTGGTAGCGTTGATTTCGATAGCCTTTCAAGATACTCGACAATGTCATTGGTTTGCAGACCGATTGATACAGCTGCGTACAACGAATATGCCGTAAGCTGGTACTCATGGACAAATTCAGGCCGGCAAACTGGCTAAATAGGGTTCAACATTCTCAAATATTTCAAAAAAGGAAAATGACAAATCAAGCAAAACAGCAAAGTAAACAAAATCTCCTAAAAATAACCACTGACAACAATCGTAAATATTGCGGGCAAGGGGTAAGCAATTATGGGATGTGTCGCAGGGGATGAAATTTGGAGGAGACACTGGAATTCCCTGGCATATCAGAAAATCGGAACTGTTTTCCTTTTAACTACAAGCACCCTCGACAGAGAGAGGTTGCTGCCCGCCTGTGTCATTACTAGGGCTGTGTCACTGTTTCAAAAAAAGTGAACACGGGAAGGCTTTTGATCGTTGCCGATACGTGTTATATTTCTTTAAATCGGCAGGAAAGCAAAACGAACCTCCGCAACGGCAATCAGGAAATCATGGGCATGCTTGTAAACCGGACTAAATGATTCTAAGAAGATATGGCCATCCGGCGCAACCCAAAGTGGACGCGATGCATGATCGGGCTTCAGCTTCATTTCCTGTCTGTAATCTTTCGCTCCGAATTCATCCGTACGCGGCACTATGGCTTGCCCCTCCAAATTGTGGCTTGCTGCTTTGGGCACTGAAAAAAAGAGCCTGTACTCTTCAGGACGATTAAACAAAACTAGATCAAGGTGTGAAAACGAATGGATCGGAAATTAAACGAAATGGAAGAAACATATGGAAAAGACGAAAATGCAAATTTGCCCAAACATATGCCAATATCACGAAGTGCTGGAAAGGCCGCATATTAGCGCCGTTAAATAGAAGCACAACAAACCGGATGTAAATATTGAGGAACTCTTCAATCCTGAACTACAATCTCCTGTCCATCGATAGCTTCGGAGGCTGCCATAGTAGTTATCCTTTTTTTTCTCAGCAGATGAAACTTTGGGAAAAACAACATTATTATTGAGATGTACAAAATGCCTTGATCATCGAATTTCATTTCAGTTGCACAATAACATTCTACACCTCAATCGCCTGAGGCTGCTTCTAAACGGTCACGAAGAGATACTCGAAATTTCCTTTGCTCCATCGCACTCTTCACCAAATTTGTCAGCTGATGCATGACAGTAGTTAACGAATAATGTAGAGGCCTATACATGGGAGACGGGATGAAAACTGTGCATAAAAGCTAGGCAAAAAGAAATTTCACTTACCAGCTGTATCACTTGCATTACTTTTTTCACCTAAACTACTCGTCTGCGAAGTATCGTCTGCATTATAATCAGCATTGTACTGCTCCCATCGGCCGCGTTTACGTCGATCGTACTTACCCGGAGCCATACGCGTTCGCTGAGATTTCAAGCCCAACAAAAATGCACCTGAAAAAAGAGTAGAATTTGCGATTCTATGATGCAGTAATGTTGAAGTGACGCAACACTACCCGCAACTTCGTTCTCGTTTAAAATCATATCGAGACCACCCAAACAACTAGTTATTGGTGCTAGTGGCCTACCCCGTGACCCAGAGCTGCATACTTCCAGTTAGTATTTATGGTAAAGCCAGGTAATTAACTTTTTGGCGTATCATTAACCGGTGTGGCACGCTGAAATGACGAAGTCTCCTCCAGATCTCACCCCTGCGATGCTCAGGTATCTGGAAGTAGCCCGAATGGTAGCATAATGCCAAGAACAACTACAGGTTGGAAAAGCTGTCAAAGAATCTTTTGCCGAGAATTTTTTTTTAAAAAGTGATGGCAATTTTGACCGCTGCTTGTCATCGAAATAAGACTGGCCTCCCCTCTTACCCACGTAATTTTAGGGAAAGTTTTCGAGCGGATCATTCTACCACACTGACAATACTCTGCGCGTCGTAACACTCCATGAAAATATCATAGGGATGCTTTCACCCATTCATTCTCAAATAAAATACAACCCTTATGCTTCAATGTGTTTAATCAAAAAATATACAACAGTAACGCTGATAAAACACATTTTCAAAAAAAAGAAACATAGACACAAATATGCATATCATAGTTTACAGGCGGAAACATTTCCCAGACAATGCAAAGGTACACTTTTATTCTGCAACTTACACCGTCCAAAACGTTAAAGACGAAAGGAACCTCTTCAAAGTTTGCTGCTGTACATTGACAATACGACAGAGACGGATAGTGCCGAGTCTCAGGCGTTACACTTTAAAAAGTACCAAATAACGAATGAAATAGCACAAGAACGTCACTTCGCTCACCAGAAATTCATGGCTTGTACCATTCTGGGCTAAAATTCTAGCCCAAAAATGAAGGCCAGCCTGGAAAACGTGGAAATTTAAAAGTTACTCCAGTAAAACGCGTTGTCATGACTAACAGCCTGTCAAAAACATAGTGTGGGGATCGAGTATTAGTGATGTTACTCGGATATGTCTGCAAAATGAATGGCTTTTAATGATATGTCAGCAAGATACCACGCATTCAAGAGGAGATGGTGAAGCACAAACATACACCATTGAGATACCTCGAAACGGTTACAATGCGATGTTGAACGCTTCTGCTTGGGGGAACCATTAATTTGGTTTTCTCTCAAAACCAGAGATGAAACAACCACCAAAGGGTTGATCACTACTGGGAACGACACGGTTCAAAGCTTTTCTGCCAACTAAAAACAGTGATAGTGATCCCGATTACAAATGAAAAGCTAATGCACGTAGTCGAAGAATCAAAATACCCAGACCACGTCACACCCATAGCAGCACTTGTACCTCAAATTTATATCACGACCCTCGAGCATGACGCCAAAATAGCAAGCATTTCTCACTTCGCGCGACCTCATTTCTAAGCTCAACAAGTAAAATATGAAATTTGGCAGGCAAAAAAAAAGACACCAAAAGTACAAATTTCTCTGGAACTGACAATCAAGCAAGCACGGCACCCGTTCCGGAATCGACATCAGGCGCCAAAAGTCGATGAGTCCGTTTGTAAAGAACTTTCAGTTGGTTTTTCAAATCGCCCAATTCTCGATACTTCGCTGCCATAGCTATTACGGCTTTTATATTGAGCGGTTGACGCGGTCGCATTTCGTCGGTTAATTTTTGTGGCCAATTTTCATTCTTAAGGATGGCCATCAGCTCCTCGGCTTTCTGTCGCCCATCGGATAAGTCTATCTTATTGAGAGCAATGATAGAAGGCTTATTCACAAGGCTGGGGTCGTACTTCTCCAATTCGATATTCAAAAGCGCAATAGTTTCCAGAGCACTCCGATATGGATTATTCAGCGACAGGTCAAATTTGAAACCAAGCACATCGATTACGAGCAGAAGGAGATCGCTGTATTCCAAATGCTTCAGGAATGCTCGTCCTCGGCCGCGATTCATTGATGCACCTTCGATTAAACCCGGCAAATCGGCGATTGACAAGCTGAACGATTCGCTGTCGTCGGCATCGGATTCTGACTGGAAGTCCTCGATATAAGCAACTTGAGGTTTCACAGTTGTAAACGGGTACTCGGCAATTTTGATTTTTTTCTTCGGCACCAGCGCTTTCATTAGCGTCGACTTGCCAGCATTCGGGAAACCAACTAAG